AAGCTATATTGTGAAAGTTGTGTGATGTCCGCCGGCCCCCCTGTGGGGCCATCAGGCTGCGAGGATGAGGCTTGCTGCGCTCCCATGTTACAGTCCTGATTTCTGTTTCCTATTGTAAACTGCTGAAAGAGGGGGGGGGGAGCCGAGAGGGGCCAGGTTACGACCCCCGAGTCCAGTTGTGAGAATTCCTGCGGGGCTGTGGGACCTGCAAAAAGGCATGAGCTTCGCGCTCCCGGCGCAATATTCCTTCGCAAATTGCGAAGGGTTTCGCGCCCCCGAGGCCACGATCCCGAGCACATTGCGCCACACTCGCGCCCCCGAAGCCACGATCCCTCTTGGAAGATACACCACACTCGCACCCCCGAGGCCACGATCTCTAATAAGTTATGCTACAGTCGTGCATTTGGGGCCACGGGCCTTCGTAAACTACGCCGCGCGTGCGCCCCCGCGGCCACAATCCCTTGTAAATTACGCCACGGTCGCGCCCCCGAGGCCGCGATCCCTCGCAGAGTATATGTATTGCTTGCGTCCCCGAAGCAAAACATCGTTGTAAATTACATGATGTTCGCGTCTCCGAGGCCATTAACCCTCGCACGGTATATAATTCTTGCGCCCCCGTGGCAACAAACCCTCGTAACTTACTCAAGTTTGGCGTCCCCGAAGCAATAACATCTTGCAAATTAAACCATATTCGCGTCCCCGATACTAGAATCCTCTTTGAATTGCACAATGTTCGCGTCCCCGATGCCACAGACCCTCGCAACTGACGTAGTAGTCGCGTCCCCGAACCCAGAATCCTGCGCAAGTTGCGCATTGTTCGCGTCACCGAGGCCACAAATCCTCGCAATTTGCTAAATTCTTGCGTCCCCGAGGCAACATACATTTATTTGTAAATTATGTTATATTATCGTCCACGTGGCCCTTCACCCTAGCAAAATTACGCCTTGGTCGTATTGCCGAGGCCAAGAATGCTCCAATGCGCCCGAAGATGGTTCCAAGACGGCCCAAGAGGGCCCCAAGAAGCCCCAAGAGCGCTCCAAGAGGCCTCCCGAGAGAGTCCCACGAGACCAAAATCGTAGATTTTATCACACATTTTTGGATGAGTTAGGCTTTTCGCATTTTCCGCTTTCCGACGCTCCACGATGGCTCAAAAAGCTCCCAAGACCGCCCCAAGACAGCCCGAAACGCCTCCAAGAGGGCCCCAAGACGGCCCGAGAGGGCTCCAAGACGGCCCAAGAAGCGCTCCGGGAAGCCCCGAGAAGCCCCCAGGAGGCCCCAAGAGGCCCGCAGAGGCGCCCAAGACGCGCCAAAGAGGCCTCCAAGAGGCCCAAAAGATCCCCCACGAGGCTCCAAGAGGCCCACAACAAGCGCCGAAACCGCCTCCAAGAGGCCCCTGAGAGGCTCCCCACGACACCCCAACACACACACCACACACACACACACACACACACACACACACACGCACGCACGCACGCACGCACGCACGCACGCACGCACGCACGCACGCGCGCGCGCACACGCACACAACACACACACACACACACAACACACACACACACAACACACACACACACGCGCACACACACACGCGCACACACACACGCACACCTATATATATATATATATATATATATATATATATGTGTGTATATGTATATGTATATGTACATCTATATATATATATATATATGTATACATACAAGTGGCACGTGTGTGCCCAGGCTCATACAAAACACTGAAGGGGCGTTTGAAGCAGAAGTGAAATGCAACAGCGGAATCGCACTCGAGTGCAAGTGGGGTTGCCACACCTTGCGATGTATGTACCAGGGCCCCCCAGGAAGCCTCAGGAGGCCCGACTTGGATACCAGAAGAGGCTCCAGGAGGCCCCAGGATTGTGAGTGTTGTGTGTGTGTGTGTGAGTGATGTGTGCTCTGTGTTGTGCGTGCTTTTTGTGCGTTGTAGGTGTTGTGTGTGTGTTATGTTTGTTTAGCGTGTGATGTGTTGGGCGTGATTTGTGTCTCTGTGTGTGCATGTAGTTCTGAAGCCTCAGGAGGCCCCAGGCGGCCTCAGGAGGCCCCAGGAGACCCCAGGAGGCTTCAGGAGGCCCCAAGAGGCTCCAGGAGGCCGCAGGAGGCCCCAGGAGGCTCCAGGAGGTTTCAGGATACCCCCAGGAGGATCCGAGGCGGGGTCTGGGGTGCCAGAAAATACGGAAAGCCCCAGGAGTCCCCAGGAGGTTCCAGGAGGCCCCCAGGAGGCTCCGAGGCGGGGTCTGGGGTACCAGGAGGTACGTCGGGGCTCGATTTTGGGAGGATGTCTCAGGCGAAATCGCCATTCTCTGAGAGTCGGGGTCAACATCGTTGAAACTACCATGTGTTTTTGAAGGTTGTATGTTAACCTGTTGAAATTCCCATGTGTGGTTGGACCCCGACGTCACGATCTGCGTGAGGGGTGCCACAGATTTTCAGAATGTCGAGGATGTCCCGAGCGAAGCGGCCAGAAAAAATCGCGGACGCGAGCGCACGAATCGCCTCTGAGCTCTACTCCCTCGGAGAGGTGCGTATGATACTGTACATATATACATACATACATACATACATACATACATACATACATACATACATACATACATACATACATACATACATACATACATACATACATACATACATACATACATACATACATACATACACACACATACATACATACATACATACATACATACATACATACATACACACATACATACATACATACATACATACATACATACATACATACATACATTCATACAAACAAACATGCGTACATAAACACATATGCATATATATATATGTACATATATGTGTATACACATATGCACATACACACAAATATATAAACCTATATACATACACAAGTGACATCGTGCGTGCCCAGGCTCATACAAAAAACTGAAAGGGCGTTTCTGTCTCTGTGTGCGCATGTAGTTCTGAGGCCCCAGGAAGCCCCAGGAGACTCCAGGCGGCCACAGGAGGCCCCAGGAGACCCCAGGAGGCTCCAGGAGGCCTCAAGAGGCTCCAGGAGGCTGCAGGAGGCCCCAGGAGTCCCCAGGAGGTTCCAGGAGTTCGCCAGAAGGCTCCGAGGCGGGGTCTGGGGTACCAGAACATACAGAAAGCCCCAGGAGGCCCCAGGAGTTTCCAGGAGGCCCCCAGGAGGCTCCGAGGCGGGGTCCATTAGCATGTGTTTGTGAAGGTTGTATATAAAAGTGTTGAAATTCCCATGTGTTTTTGGACCCTGACGTCACGATCTGTGCGAGGGGTGCCACCGATTTTCAGAATTTGGAGGATGTCTCTAGCGAAACGGCAAGAAAATCGTGAACGACGCGACGCGTATGCATTAATCGCCTCTGAGCTCTACTCCCTCGGAGAGGTGCGTATGAGAATATATATATATATATATATATACACACAGGCCTCAGACCCACAACCCAGACACGGTGGCGGGATGGGCCGAAGGCCACCAGGATTCGCCGCCCCCTGTCGAGTCATCGCAGGGGTGCCCGGCGTGCTAGATTATTTCGGTGTCGGTTTTGGTTCTCTTGTCTAAAAGAACCCCCCCTGGGGCGTCGGTCCGTCCCGCCGGGGTCCCGGAAGGCTCTTCCAGGACCGGAAACGACCTCGGCGTCCGCAAGACACTGTCCACGACGGCGCAAGACGGCCTCCAAGACGGCCAAGATGGCCCTCAAGCTCGCCCAAGATTTGTCCAAGATGGCCTCCCAGACGGCCCAAGAAGGTCCGAGATGCCCCTGCGGAGCCGCGGGAGAGAGAGAGAGAGAGAGAGAGAGAGCGCCGCGCCCCCCCTGGCGCCGCAGCGGGATATGGCAGCGAGGGCGGCAGCCCCAGGGAAGCGGCCCTCTTCTTTCCTGGGCTCTCGCGCCAGAAGCCATAATCTCCCAGGTCGACTCGAACCAAAGCGTGCAGCAAGCGAGCGATGATACGAGGCGAGCAATACAAAATAGCAAATAGATGACACAGGCAAATCTATATATATATACACATCAGTCCAATACGAATCTCATGAAACGAGAGAGGGGATAGTATGAAGGGAGAGATACATCAAACGAGAGCGGGGCTTCGGGGCTGACAAGATAGCGCGTTCTTTCAACACGGATCCTAAATCTTTGCAGGCCCGAGCCCGGTCCCTGGGTTTCTCTCCAAGCCAAAACAATTCCCAGAATGCAATCGACGGAGACGAAGTCGAGAAGGATGAGGACACATGAGGGGCAAAGAGGAATAGGCGAGCAGGACGAGGAGCAACACCACCAGGAGGAGCAGGAGCAGGAGGGGCGCGAAATGGACGAGGAGGGCGCCGCCGACACCTCCCCTCGCCTCCCCCCCCCTGGCGGCCGGCCTTGCTCTTGTCCGTGGGCTCGAGGCGGCCCTTGGGGAACTCCCACGCTGCAGCGGGGCCTGCGCGCCTGGGGGCACCGAGGCGCGGCAAGATCCAGGCCACGCTCTCCCGCCGGAGGAGGAGGAGGAGGTGGGAAGAGGTGGGAAGAGGAGGAGGAGGAGGAGGAGGAGGAGGAGGAGGAGGAGGAGGAGGAGGACGAGGAGGAGGAGGAGGAGGGGCGCGAATTCCCTTCATCCTGACCTTACCCCTCGTAACTCCTCCTGCTCCAATCCTGCCTATACTCCATTAGCTCCTGCTCGTGCTGCTACGCATGCATCCTCTTGGCTTTGAAAAACGGGATTCCCCTCCCTCTTTGCCCCTCCACCTCGTCATCCTCCTTTTTTGCCCCCCCTTCCCCATCCCACTCCTTCATCCATCATCCTTCTCCTCTTCATCCTTCTTCCTCCTGCTGCTGCTCCTCTTCCTCCTCCTCCTCCTCCTCCTCCTCCTCCTCCTCCTCCTCCTCCTCCCCTCCACCTCCCCCTCCGTAGCCATTTTGGCTCAAGTGAGCCCGCGCTTCGGGAGGCCCTCGCAGCGCGCCGCGCGGGCGCGTGGCGCGCCAGAGGCCGATGTCCGCAAGTGCTGGTGGCGGCAAGCCGTGGGCGGCGGCTTCCGCCCGGTCGCTGGCCCGGCGCCTGCGGCGAGAGCGGCAGGCGGAGCGGGGCTGGTCTCGTGCGGCCGCGCTGTCACGCCGCACGAAAGCGCTCAGGGCCTCGCTCGACGTCCACTGGCGCCTTGGTGACGCCGTAGGCTGCTACCTCCCCACGCTCGGCGAGGAGGTGGCGGCCGCGCGGTTGATCGGTTGCGACCCTGCCCTCCTCGCCGAGGCGGACGCGGCGCTGGTGGAGGGCAACTCCGCACGCCACGCGCCGCCGCCTGGCGCGGCGAGAGGGCTTGTTAAGATGCCTGACGGGCTGGTGGCTCGGGCGCTCGAGCGCCTGCTGGAGGGTGCTGCGCCGCCCTTTCGTCGCGACGCCGAGCCGTTCGTCCCAGCTGGTGTCAGGCTGGCCTCCACGTTGCTGTGCGAGCTCGGCGTGGAGCAGGTCGCGTGCAATCCCAGCGTCGTCCCGCCTGTGCAGGTCCACTCCCACGTCGTGGTGGACGTGGAGCCCCTTCGCGATGCCGCTGGCGCGGACGACGCCTCTGTGCCAGAGGACTCGCAGTTGGTGGTCAATCTCGGCATGTCGGCTGAGGATGTGATGGACCCACTCGTTGCGTGCAGTGCCAAGCCGCTGGAGGAGGTTCGGGAAGATCCCGACGTGCAGGCCTCCAGCGAAGTCAGCAGCGTGGCCTCTCCTGGAGGTGATGAGCACAGCAATAGTGTCCAAGGTGATGGTGACATTGGCGTGGTGTTCTCCGACGGTGAGCCTGCTGACGACCCTGGCGGAGGTCCTCATGGTAGTGATTGCGTTGCCCTCGGCTCCGAGGGCGAGCCTGCTGATGAGCGTGGCGGACATGGTGCTGAAGATGGCGTGGCCCTCGGACATCGTTGTGGTGATGCTGATGGTGCTGTCATTCCGATCGCGCTCCTGCAGTTCCTGGTTCAGCAGCAGGACGCTGGCGCCGTGGTCCACGAGGGCGACCTCATCGTGTGGCAACTCGAGCAGATCGAGGACAGCATCCAGTCCGAGGCCCACCTCATGGAGTGCGAGACGGAGGTCCAGGAGGCCATCGACAAGATGATCGACCAGGGCCTCGTCTCCGTCATGAGGCCGTCGCTCGGCCCGTCGCGCGCGAGCCGCCTGCTCGCTGCTAGCCGCCCTGCGGTCGTGCGTTCGTGGCCGAGCTCGGGGCATCCTGGGGGTGGCGTAAGTGGCGGATCCTCGTGTGGTCCCAAGCGCCACCCCGCAGGAGCCTAAAAAAGCGGCGCCGAGGGTGGCGGAAGTGGCGGATCCTCGTGAGGTCCGAGCGCCACCCCGTTGGCGCCGCCCGTCTTAGTCCTGCGGGACTCTTCCCCTCGGGGCTGCCCTACCCTCCTCCTCCTCCTCCTCCTCCTCCTCCTCCTCCTCCTCCTCCTCCTCCTCCTCATCCCCCCGTCCTGCCGCCTGCGCCTGCTCCTGCTCCTCGTCCAACCTCATGATCTCCGAGAGCTGAAACTCCCTTGAAACATTGAGACCCGAAGGGCACCCCAGAAACCTCCTCCCTGCTCCCCTCCAACCTTCCTCCTTCTTTCTTCTTCTCTCTTCCTCTTCCTCCCTCCCCCCCTCCTCCTCCTCCTCCTCCTCCTCCTCCTCCTCCTGATCCTCCTCCTCCTCCTGCTCATACTCCTCCTCCTCCTCCTTCCCGTCCTTCTCATCCTCCTCCTCCTCCTCCTCCTACATTTCCTCCCCCCTCCCCCCTCCCTATCCCCCTCCTCTCGCATCTCCCCTCTGGTCACCCCCCCACTCCCCCCTGACGGGTGGGGGGGCGATGCTCTGTGCGACCGCCGCCCAAGACGCTGCCGCCCCCCCGCCCCCCGATCGACACCCCAGGGGCCGCGGCCGTCCGACAAGCAGCGCCCGAGGGCGCAGCCGCCGCCCGAGGGGGCGGGCTCGGCGGCGACGAGGGAGACGACGCCGAATACGACGGAGAGGAGAGGAGAGATCGCAACCCTTCGTCGGTGACGTCCAAGAGTTGAGCAGGGACCGACCGTCCCGGCATTCCTATAGGCCTTCCACGGTCAAATCTTAGAACCCAAGAATATCAGCCAGCGTTGACTCCAAACCGATAGATGGACAGGAGAAGCAAGAGAGGAGAAGACGAGGAGGAGAGGACGGGAGGAGAGGAAGCCAAGCATGGAATGGCAATCAAAAAGAAGCGAGCAAAAAGAAGCGAGCAGCCATGCAAGTACGGAGAGCCATAGGAGTAAGCTTGGGCAAATCAGCGGGAGGGGGGTGGGGGGTGGAAAATGGTGATGATGAGATGGACAATGGTGACGATGATCGCTGACGGTGGCGATTGTGAACTGATGGCGATAGCGCGGGCGTTTTTTGTGTGGGATCGCGGTCTTGCGGGTCTCGCCATATCGCCCTGTCTCTCAGGTGCGCAGCGTCAGTGCGCCGAAATATGTCGGACAACGGCGGGAACTGAATATCTTGCCTGCGTGCCCCACGGTGTCGTGCCATAGCCGGCGTGTCCGCGCGACAGCTTTGGCACGGGCGCGGCATGCAATCCGTATTACCGAGTCCGAGCGCTTGGAAATCGGAAGTCGCACGTTCAGGACAACACCGTTCTGCCGGCGTGTCCGCGAGGCAAGTGACAGGCGTGCCTGCGCGCTGTCTCGCCACAGTCGGCGTGTCCGCGCGACGTGTTTGGCACGGACGCGGTATGCTATCCTGACTGCCGAGCCCGAGTGCTCAGAAAGTCATGCGAATCCATAGGAATTGGCATTGGCATTGGCCTAGACATCCATACGACTCATAGGTTTCCATAAGAATCGATGAGCTGGGACTCCTGTAGGGCAAGCCGATTTGGAAACTCACGCAAATAAAGACAACATTCTTGAAACACAAGGACGATGTGTTCAAACAAGACAGTCTCGGCCAGAAATGTTCTAAGAACATGCCGTGCAGAACTCAACAGGTTCTTAGACCATTCCTTCGTGGGCCTATAGGCAAGCCGGGACGCTTCGCCACTGGTCGAAAGAGGGGGGCATCCAAGAGGGGGGGTCGCAAATCGTGGCCGGCGGCACGTGCGCGGACGAGGGGGGCCAGTCATACCCCCCCCCCCTCTTGGCCGCCCCCCCGGGTGGAGTGTCCGTGCGGGCGCGCGGGGTACTACAGTCGGGGCGTTGACCTAAGGAACCCTAAAGAAGGAACGAGGCAACTTTTTCCCATACGTTCCACCTCGATTTCCGATGGAAAACCTCAGGATAACCCGAGGCAAACTTTGAAACAATCAAGGAACACCGAGTCCCTCCCCAACAAAAAAGGGTTCCTTCTTCAGCGCCCCGACTGTAGCGCCCGCCGCGCCCACCTCTTGTGGCGGGAGGGGCCGCTCGAGGAGCAGGGGTGGGCACGCTGCACTCCCCCCCTGGCGCGGCCTGCGAGGGCCCCGACGGGGAAGCAAAGGCAGGGAGGGGATGGGGAGAGAGGGAGGGACGATGGAGGGATGAGGGATCAGTGGGGGCGAGAGGATGGAGAGAGGAGGGAGGAACGAGGGAAGAGCGATGGGGCAGCGGAGGCGAGGGGATCAGTGGGGGCGAGAGGATGGAGAGAGGAGGGAGGAACGAGGGAAGAGCGAGGGGGCAGCGGAGGCGAGGGAGGACGGGCAGAAGTGGTGGGAGGGAGCGAGCGCGAGGCAGAAGGCAACGGGTCTCGCCGCCTTTCACCTGCGGCCCACGGCCGCGCGACCGCGGCGGGCTTCGGCTGCACCTACGGAGCCCAGGACCCCGACTGTGAGGTCGATGCCGCCGACCTCAGGCAACGACGGTCAACGCGCAGGAGGGAGGAAAGGGGAGGACTGAGGAGGCGGAGGAGGAAAGAGGAGGAGGCGGAGGAGGGAAGAGGAGGGTGGAACGAGGAGGACGGGGCGTGCCGATCGAAAGGGTTTTCCTGCGCACCCAGGTGGGGGGCATGGCTCACCTGGGAACTGGCGGCAGGGCTCACCCCCAAGAAAGCTCTTGTTCCATGTGTTCGCTGCACTCCTCCTCCTCCTCCTCCTCCTCCTCCTCCTCCTCCTCCTCCTCCTCCTCCTCCTCCTCCTCCTCCTCCTCCTCCTCCTCCTCCCCCTCGGGAGGGCAGTGGCGCGCAGCGCGCAGGCAGACCCCCCCCCCCCCTGGCCTCCGGATGGCGAGCACCTCGGGCTCCCCCTGGCCGCCCCGCGAGCGGGTCAGCAGCACGCCCGCCGACACGATCGGCGGCGGTGCCGCGCCCGCAGCCGACTGCGCGGGAGGCCGCGGACGACCAAGACGACGACAGGCACGGCGACGACGACGACAACGACGACGACGACGACGACGACGACGACGACGACGACGACGACGACGACGACGTCAATCACGGCGACGACGACAACAACAACTACAACGACGGCGACGACGACGGCGACGACGAAGGGTGTCGGTGTAGCCGATCCTGTTGCGCGGAAAGGTGTCGGTGCCCGAACCATCGGGAAGCGCAAAACTCCCGGAGAAGGATCCTGCCCCAGGACCGCAAGTGCGCCCGAGGATCTTGCCGCGACCGCACGAACTGCCCCGCAGCTCGGCAAGCTCGGGTCACGGCACACGGAGCCGCCCGCAGACCAAGAGCCCTTGCGTGGGGTTCTAATAACATGTCGTGGTAGGCCTATGGGAATGCCGGGACGATCGGTCCCTGCTCAATGTACACAGACACCTTCCAATGGATTGTTCTTGGACCTCAGGGGAGGGTGGCGGTGTATAAATCTTGAAAGAGGGCACGTGAATTTATGCACCGCCGCCCTCCCTGAAGCTTGAGGCACATGCAAGGAAAGAGTGGCGGATGGGTCCGCGGAGCGAGATCGGCCCGGGGGGGTGAAGGTCCGAGAAGCTCAGAGCAGCACACGGGGCGCAGGGCCGCCCACTGGAGGGGACCATGGGGCACACCCGTCGGCGGCGACATCCCACAGGCGGCCAGCGACAGGGCGCACCCCAGAGTTCTCGTCGAAGGCTCCAGGGCACAGAGCGAGATCCGCCAGCAGATTTGTTGAAATACAGAGAAGGAGGACTAGACGGCCAGGCTGCGCCCAACCAAGAATGCCCCCAGCTGTTGGCGCAAGCTTGACGCATTGGGGCTCCCTGGCCCTCGGGAGAGGTGCTGAGGAGGATGCCATCTGGGGCCAACTTGGGCCACTGCCGCTAGCAGCCCCGACTTGAAAGCTCCCTCGTCATCCCTCCTCCTCCCTCCTCCTTCGTCCTTCCTCCCTCCTCCCTCCTCCCCATCCTCCTCCTCCTCCTCCTCCTCCTCCCCCTCCTCCCTCCGCCTCCTCCTCCCCCTCCCCCTCCTCCTCCCTCCTCCCCCTCCTCTTCCTCCTCCACCTCCTCCTCATCCTCCTCCTCCTCCTCCTCCTCCTCCTCCTCCTCCTCCTCCTCCTCCTCCCCCTCCTCCTCCTCCTCCTCCTCCTCCTCCTCCTCCTCCTCCTGCTCAGCGAGCAACCCTGAGCAAGAGTGACCTGGGGTGCGCGGCGTTCGTGGGGCGCGGGTGGGGGGTCAAGTCGAAGCGCGCAAGCCACTGCTACCACATCGCGATCGGCCAACGGGGAGACCCAGTGGCCCCGCACCAGATGTCATTCTGGCGATCACTTCGGCCAACAAGGCCTCCTTAATCATAAACTTTCGGAAGGCCGAGCGTACGTCTTGGATCGGCGCTGGGCCACCCCCCAGCGCGCCAGGGGTCGCGCAGGAAGCGCCGCGAGCGGGATCCAGCGCCGATCCAAGAACTCTTGGCGGATGCTGATGGCGGTTTCCCTCATTCGAGAGTACGCGTAGCCGATCTGAGCGCTTTGGCATGGGGGAAGTGGGTCCTGAGGGAAGCGGGTCCTGGACCCTGGGGCCATCCCCCAGCACGCGATCTTCATCCTGAGTCGTTTTCTGACCAGTCCCGGGGCCCGTGGAGGGCCCCGAGAGCCCGAAAACGGCCGAAAACCGCAGGACCCGTTTCCCTCAGGACCCGCTGCCCCCATGGCGGCGATTTGAGAGCTGTTCCCCGCGCGCTGCCTTGCGGGCGTCTGGCATGCCCTCGCCGGGCGCGGTCCGAGGAGGCCGCCGCATGGCTGGCTCCTGCGGGCCCCGGGGCCTCGGGCCAGTGGCAAAAAGAGACC